GTCTCCTTCATGCCGTTAAGTTGTTTATTCTTTCAACTTCATGTGATAAAGTTAAAGCCGACAATAAACCATGATCCATTGTAGTTCTTTTCTCCATATTTTGGAGGTATTCCAACAAATTACAACCACCCTTTTCCTGAAGGTTCCCCGCACGGCCTTCACGGGTGCAAGTCCGGAGGCAGGGCTGGGTGAATGATGAAACAACTGTTTGGATTGGAGATTTTTCGTGGTCACTTTGATTTCACATAGTTCTTCAGCTTGTATTTCATCTCAGTTTCTATCCCGTGGATAGGGGGTGGGTCGGAGCAGGGGTACGTTAATGGCCAGTTGGAGCTATTAGTATCAAGAGTTTCCCAACCACATGATAGTTTTCAACGCTAGTTCCAAGCTATTCATTGGATTGGTATGATTGCTCCAAGGGAACATCTGCATGAAAGCCCCACAAATCGACGGGGTTGAACAAGTTGTTTCCAGTGAAGATTTTTTCCTTTCACCAATCCAGTGAGCTATTGGAGATAACGAGTTGTATCATTTGTATCCCATCGCCATCATATCAATTCATATCACATATTATATCATTTACATCACCATAATGTCACCCTTTGATATACCCACTATGACCATCATTGTATCACCATCTCAACCATTCCAAGCCCTGTCCGGGTTGCTTCAGATCTCCAGGCGTTGAAGGAGGAACCCAAGGAGCCCAAGGTGCCGAGCTCCGTGTTGACCAAAGAGCGGCCGGGGACGGCCCCGCAGTCGGAGGACCCAGTGGTGGTCTGGGCGGGGACCGAACTTCGATGCTTTTGAACATGTTTGAACAGTTTTAAAGGGGGAGCTTTACCAATCCCAAATCCAAAAATCGACCAAATTGAAGATTGAAGTATAATTAGATCATCAACTGAAGTGATTTTTTAAATGATTTTTTGATCATCAATCATCAATGAACGGCAGTGTGACGTCTCCTTCTCCGCCGTATAGTCCCAGGACCTGGCATGATTGTCGCAGGATTTCCGCCATGCCAATAAAACATGGAATTTTCGAGTGTAAAATCCATGGATTATATAAATTAATATAAATTATATGGATTGGGAATCCCAGTAAACTTCAGTGAACCAAGTTTTATGACAGTACAACAATATAGGACAATCATTTGGATTTCGTCAAATGGATCGATGTCACTGCGACCGCGAAGCATGTGCCTCTCAACATTTTCCCTTCGAATTTCAGTAGCACCCTGAGCCGATGTGCCCCAGTACACCTCAGATTGTCAGATGGATTTCACGAATTCATCCGGCGTGTTTCGATTCAGATCCGTCTTGTGGCTTTCACATATCACTGATATCACCTCTTCACGTAGTGGTTGGGTGATGTTACCCGATGTTGGAGTGGGACAGCCATCAGCGCCCCAGCAGAATCATCCCAGTTGCTGAAGTCTCAAGGCGCGTGGAACCACGGCGACCGTCTGCTCCTGCGCAGGCACGGTCAAGATTTGGTGGCCAAGAATTGGGAGGATTTACGGTCAAACATTGCCAGGATCAGCCCCAGGTCTTCAATTTTCATCTGTATGCAGTACGCACTGAGGAATAAACGAGTGGGTCAAAGCGGGTTCAATCCCCTGGTGTTACCCTCTGGTAAACTAACATAGCTATGGAAAATCACCATTTTTAATGGGAAATCCATTATTAATGGCCATTTTCAATAGCTACGTTAAATTACCAGAGGGTAGATGTCTGAGGTTCCAACTGCCTCCTCTGGAATGATCCAGCCTGGTACACCACTTCAGTGTTTTTCCCCGAGTTTCCGGCTGGTGCAAACCGTCTCCCATGTGCGCAGTAAGATTCCTGGCAGGAAAGCTTGCCAGCTGAAAGGGTTCTAGTCAACCACAGACTTTTAATGTTTTTTAAATGATGTTTCGCATTTTTCCCATCGAATGCAGTGATGAGTGAATTTTGGTATCTGATTTGGCAAATTCTTGTGCACCCCCCCGAGCTTTCAAGAAGCCAGGTGGTGAGTGCTTCAGTCGCAGCTCTGCCGACCAGGAGACTGCCTGTTTTCAGGTTGCTGAAATATCATAGCTTTGCCGGGTAAATGGTATATAGAAGTGAATATGACCATATGCATTATATATATATATATTATATAAAATACAAGTTGCATTTTCTGTTGATTCTCTCATTTCTCTCCCCAACATACTATAAAAAGTGATCAAACATAGCTGGTGAAATCCCCGAACTGGAGGTTTTGTTAATGGGAAACTCAGACTGCCAGATCGCCGCAGGGACACGACGTCTCGATCGCAACCACAGCTTCCGGTCCCCAAAGCAGCCCGAAGGCTCAGAGATTTTTTTAAGGCGGCTGGGGATGATTTGGGTCAAGAATTGGTTACCAATGAAACAGAATTGTTCATTTTTAGTTTTAGCATTTTTGAAGAAAAGTTTTTTTTCAGGATTTTGGGATCCCTGAAAATTTCCAGCTGTTTAGAATCGAGTCCAAAAGCCACTTGGTTTACGTTTCATATTCGCAGGTATAGACAAATGGTAGTTTGTTGGCTCCTGGAAGTACCCACAATCTTTGAACCTTTTTAGTGTGTATGAGGCCTACTTCAACATTACCAGCTTGATCCCCACCTCAAATGGGCAGGGCTCAGAATATTTTGCCCGGCAGTCGTGGTTGGTTTCCCAGAACCCTGGCAAATGCTGGAGGCACACCCAGGTCCTTGGGGTTCCCTTGGTCAATCAGCATTTTGGTTGGTGACACCATCACAATCTTGAGATGTCATGTATGTCACCCCCCATTCGTTGGTGATCTCCACCTTTCTTGATTCTGCACCTTCCTCATTTTCCAAGGTTTGTTGGCTTAACTCATTTTCCATTCTCCTCATTTTCCTAAATCCTCATTTTTGGTTTAACTTCCATGAAACCTCCATTTTTGTTGGTGAAAAATTCCATTTTTTGCCGTTGGAATCGCCTCTGTAAGGCGCACGGCGTGGCAGCTGGCACCGCCTCGGCGGCGGCCGCGGCGGCGGCATTTGCACGGAAACGCAGCGGGCACTGTGGAGTTTTTTTTTTTTCCCAGAACTTGTTGGGATGATTTGGCTATGGAATACCGAGAGAATTGGGATTTTCCCGAGATTTCTGGCAATTTGTTGGAATGATTCAGGATTGGAATATTGGAATACTTCAGTCCAAGAGGATTTTTTTCATTGCGATGATGGGGACAATTCTGAGATGACTCAGGAAAAAAGGGATAGACAGACAGACAGTTGCAGTCTATGGGAACCAACTACTTTGGACACCCCAAACCGGCCCGGAATATTCATTTGGGGATTACTCAAATCTGTTACTACCATATTTAGGGGAATACACATTTATTGATCAGCTATTTTAGGGTAGCTAGGGTAGCAGGGTTTTGGCTTATAGCCATTTGAGACAATGAACGGTGATGTTTTCAATTTGCTTCCCATTTGTCGGTAAAACATGGTAAAAATGATCCTGACTTCTGATGGATATTGTTCAACTGACTGGGAACACAATGATCATGGCTTCTGTAGCAACACCCAGCTGTTGATTAAATGAATCCAGGGACCTGTTAAAAATTATGGGCTGATCAATTCAGCCTCCCACGAGCGACTTGGGCTACTGCTCCACCCATGGCGAAAAAAGGATAGTCCTTGGTGATGGGCCTGTCATGGAACCTCCCAATTTGAAATGGTGGATTCATCTATAGACAGTAGATACCAGGATCAGAATTCACCACTTCCATGGGGTGAAATAACTACTCCACTGATAGGTGGGACTTAATCACATCCCGTCATTTTTCCCATTCAGGTTTCCTTAAATACCACTAATGCCCATTTAAATCTGATAGTTATCACCCCAATCATCTTCTTGTCCCCTCTTATGGGTAGGACTAGTTATGCCCAAATTAATCCGTCATCAAAATCCTTTATTACTCCACCATCAATACCCTCACCAGTCCCTCATCAACCACCCTTAAATCCCCCATCGTTCCATCAATATCCGTCAAAAGTTATTCTACCTGTTCATCAGTAATGGATGGCTTTGATATAATGAATTGATGAATACATAATATAAGATAGATATTATACATGATATCTATATGATATCTATATGATATAGATATAATATGATATAATACGATATAGTATAACATAATATGATATAATATAATATGATATGATATAATATAATATGATATGATATAATATAATATAATATAATATATAATATAATATAATATATGATATAATATATAATATAATATAATATAATGTAATATAATGTGATATAATATAATATAATATGATAATATAATATAATATAATATATGATATAATATAATATAATATATAATATAACATAATATAATATAATATAATGTAATATATGATATAATATAATATAATATATAATATAATATAATATAATGTAATATAATGTAATATAATTTAATATAATATGATATGATATTTAAAATATAATACGATATGACATGATATACAATATAATAAAATATAATGTACTATGATATGATATATTATAATTTTTATTATATAATATAATTAGATATAGATATACATAGATATATTTTGATATAATATGATATAATATAATATGATATAATATTATATCATATACTATGATATGATATGATTTGATATGATAGGACATGATATCTAATATAATATAAAATAATATAACATAACATAATATAATATAATATAACATGATATGATATGATATAATATGATATAATATAATATAATATGATATAATATGTATATTATTCAGATATTATCTACAATATTTTGTTATACTATATTATATTATATTATATTATACTATATTATATTGACGGGATATAGGGTTCTCACTAGTTGCTACGCCAACCTTTGGCTCAAGAACACCGCTGCTAAAATAGCGAGTTGCATATTCTCCGTTCATGGTAGCGGAGCGATACGCTCCAGGGTCTTAGCAATGGACCAACAACAAGCGGCACAGGTCCTCCAGTCGCTCCAGGAACTACAGACCGAGGTCAATCGACTAAGAGGCCGAGAAGCTGAACTGACAGCACAGGTCGCTTCTTTTGGTGCCGGTTCGGCTGCTTCAGCTGGACCTGGCAGTGCACTGGCACAGTTGGTGCAGTCACAAAAGGAGCTTGTGGACGCCCTTAGATCGAAAGAACAAGTCCGGTTGGTCGACAACAAGGGCCTTGGCAAGCCCGACAAGTTTGATGGGACAGCCGAAAGATTCTTGTCATGGAAAATCAAGACGTCCTCCTATCTTGCAAGTGTTCGCAAAGACCTTCGTGAGATTCTGGTTTGGGCCGAAGATTGCGATCATGCAATCACTGCAGATGACATCGACAAGGCTTTTGGGAGTCAAGCAGATGCCATTGACCAGGTGTCGAACATCAGTGAATTGAGACGCGAGCTTTGGGACGCGCTGCTAATGCTGACAGAGCGTGAGCCCTTTGACATCGTGCTGAACACCGGGGAATGCGGCATCGAAAGCTGGAGAAAGCTCACGCGGAGGTACGACCCATCCACTGGTGGTCGCAAACGCGCTCTCCTCAATGCAATCTTGTCACCGGCTCGATCCAAGATGGAAGATTTGCCGTCCAACCTGGAGAAGCTTCTTGACAGCATCAGACTTTATGAACGTCGCAAAGACGCATCTGGCAACCGAACGATGTTGGCAGAAGACATCAAGATCAACGTGATTGAACGATTGGTGCCGGCAGAGCTCGAGCGTCATCTCGTTCTCAATCGAGATCGCTTCAAGACGTTCGAGTCCATGCTGTCCGAGATCCAGTCCTATGTGGAACATGCCACCGGCAACAAGATCAAGGTGGTGAATAGCCAGCCCTACGACGCACATGGCCGTGGGGACGATCCTATAGATGTCGGAAGCTTTGGAAAAGATGCGAAGGGAAAAGGTAAGGGCAAGAAGGGAGCTGGAGGAAAACCTGGAAAGGGAAATGCAACAGCTGAGAAGAGAACATGTCACAACTGCGGACGCCCAGGACATCTGCGGGCAGATTGCTGGGCACCTGGAGGCCCCAAACATAAGGGGACGGGTGGCAAAGGCAACAGCAATCAGAATAAGGACAAGGGCAAGGGCAAAGGCAGCCCCGGAAAGCACAAGCAGAAGCCCAAAGGAGGCAAATCTGTGAACAATGTCGAACAAGGTGAACCAGAAGCAGAAGACTGGGACGCAGCTGATGGCGACGATGGTCAACAAGCAGCAAATGGTTTAACGCTCTATGGCGTTGATGGGCCACCACATGACGAGGATGACGACGAAAGTTTCCAGGTCGATCCCGAGTCCGAGGAGTCGGAAGCCTCGACAAGTCGCAGAAGGTGGTTTTCTTTGCCTCACCCACGTGCGTCATGGCCTGAAGAGTGGGACGACCCCGACTATGATGGACCGAGTGGATCGAGTGGCTCAAGACCCCTTCGGTCGCTTCGACTGGAGGAGGTCACCGAGCACGAGACCACTACATCCAAGTCCGCGTCTTCCAAGGCACCTCGAACGCCACAGGGAAGACCCAAGAGGGGCAGAAGTCCAAAGAGCTCAACACCAAAGAGAGGCAAAGCAAGCAGATCAGGGCCAGTCACTCCGGAGTCAGCACTCCGACGCTTTCGAATGACTTCGATGACACCACCACCAAGGAGAAGGTTGAGGCATGGGCCACAGACTCCAGAAGAACTTCTTCGTAGCTCTACACCTTTGCCAAAGACACCACCGACACCTATAGCATGGCCTGCATCACCTCCACAACAGCCGATAGCCTCGCCCAAGACTCCACCAGGACCACCACCAGGATGGCAAAGCCAAGTAGCTTCACCCAAGACTCCGCCATGTCCACCACCGGGATGGCAAAGCTCTCAGGTGAAGCCACCACCACCTGTCAAGGCATCATCGGCAGCTTCGACTTCAGGTTCTCGACTTGTCCAGATGCTGAAGGCTGCGCTGAGTTCACAAATCCGCAAAGTCCAAGAAGAAGATCCTGGTTCAGGAGATGGCCAGGCAGATGCGATGTTAGCGGCTTTGAGGACTAGATCTGTCAAGGCACCGCACATCACAAAGCAGAACATCAGCGATCCTTCTTTCCACGACTCGAGATACCATGCCGAGATTGCCAAAGGTGTTGCACACAATGTGGCCTGGAGAAATGAACGTTTGAGAAGACGTGCAATCGTCCACCGACGAGGAGGAGTCAAGGCACGTGCGGCTGAAAGGATTCGACTTGACAAAGAATGGCATGAACGCTTTGACAACCCAGAAAATCCAGAAGGCATAGTGAGAATCGAGGATGAAGACAACTTGGATGCGGGCATCGAGACGGTGGTTGTGGGCAAAGCTGGTCAGAGCACAGTGATAGAGTTTTCAATGGAAGAGCGGAAAACTTTGAGGCAGTTCCCGGACGACGAGGCCAAGTTGCTGCGGAAGGATCCCAAGAAGAAACCCATGACCAAGCGTGTTCGAAGCGTTGGGTACAGGGTGAAGAAGAATCGCAACCGCAATGTGGCGCGCAAGATGGCGAGGAAGAACCGACCAGCCTTGGTTCTGAAGGAAAACACTGAAGTGAACGCAGATGAAGATGATGATGAAATGGAAGAGGTCTACATCGAAGAGCCTGATGAGCCTCGAGACCGACCAGGCAGAGGAGACCCCGATGGTGGAGCTGGATCGGCTCCTGCTGCAGTCTACAGCTTGGGGGCCTCTGACGACTGGCGAAAATGGGAACGAGCAGAGTTGAACATCGACACCGGTGCTGCCATCACTGCAGTACCACTTGACTTCGCCAAGGACTACCCGAGGAGCGAGTCCAATGGAGCAAGCTACAAGGCAGCCAATGCGGAACCCATCGAAGATCAGGGAAGTGTGAAGCTGGTGGGATACGACGAATCTGGCAACAAGATCCCAATCGATTGCCGAGTTGCAGATGTGCATCGGCCACTTCTTTCAGGTTCCGAGATCGCCAAGAACTACCACATCGCCCTTGGACCATCTTCGGGGAGATTGATCCCAAGAAACACTCCTGCGGGACGGGCCTATTCGAAGGCCATGAAAGATCTGATCCGAGATTATGGCGATTCAATGCCCATTGTGCACAATCGCCGAGGCATCTATGTGTTGGACTATTGGGTGTCACCTTTTCAGGGGCATCCTCAAGAGGAGTAAGACCACAAATCAACGCTGTTGGCGAGGATCCAGCTGTTTCAGCCGGAGCCGATGCCATGGAAGATGGAGGCGATGTTTCAGCCGCTTCGGCCGGAGCAGGGTCCTCAGGCGATGTTCCAGCTGCTTCAGCCGGAGCAGATGCCTTTGAAGATGAAGTTGATTTGGAAATCGGTGAAGAACAGAGGAAAGCCATTGTGAAGAAAGAACCACATCAACCATCCCAAGCTGAAGTTGACGAACATGAAAGCACTGGACATGTTGTCCATCGGAGCTGGTGCTTGCACTGCAAAAGGGCACGTGTGACTGCTGATCGCCATGTGCCTAAGGAACTTGATGAGCCAGAAACGCAGTTGCCCACGCTGAGCCTGGACTACTTCTATATGAACCAGGACCAGGTTGCGGATGAGGCGACCCTTCCGAGCATTGTGGCGAAGTGCCACAAGACCAAGAGATTTTGGGCGAGCGTTCTCCCGGGAAAAGGGGCGGATGCGTTCGCAATCGCGTGGCTTGGGGGAGTTTTGGATGATGCTGGTTTTAATAAGGTAATCCTTAAGTCTGACGGTGAACCCTCCTTGGTATCCCTTAAACAGAAGGTTAAGGAGATAAAGACCCACATCGAAGTGCACTTGGTGGAAACCCCAGTAGAAGACCATCAAGCCAATGGGTTTATCGAAGTGGGAGTGCGAGAGATAAAACGACAATGTCGTGCTCTCCTCAGCGACCTGGAGTTCAAGCTGGAAAGGAAGGTAGATCCGGGCCATCCACTTTTGGTTTGGCTCCCGCGGCATGCTGCCTTTCTCTTGACGAGATACCGAGTAGGTACTGATGGAAAGACCGCTTTTGAGCGGACCTATGGACGAAAATGGCGGATTCCGCTTGTGAGGTTCGGTGAAAGCATCCTGTATAGGCCGAGGGCCAATCGTGGGGGCAAGAGAAATGACCTTGCTCCAAGGGTATCCATTGGGATGTACGTTGGAACTGGAAACAGAAATTCAGACGTCTTTGTCATGACGGAACGTGGAATCATGAAGGGGAACTCGATCCATCGACGCCCACCTGACGATCAGTTCAAACATGATCAGTTTGACTCGCTACGTGGCCTTCCTTGGAGGTTGCAAGAACGAGAACATGGTGGACTGAGGATCGCCCTTCCCGATGTTGCAGCGCCTCGTGAAAGGCCTGCAGTGCAAGAAGTGATCCCAAGGAACCTCTATGTCACCAAGAATGACTTGGAAAAGCATGGGCACACACCTTTGTGTCCTGGATGTGAAGCAGCAATACTTGAGATGCCAAGCCGAGCTCACAATGCTGAGTGCAGACAAAGAATCCAGATCGAACTTGACAAGACTCCAGAAGGTCAAGAAAGGATCAAAAGAGCGAGAGAGAGAGTTGCACAAGGCAGGCGCCCAAGAGGCGCGGCTGCACCGCCTGAGGGTGGTGGGGCAGAAGGTGGTGAAGCTACACCACCAGTTGTCCCAGGAGGGGAAGTTGAACAACCAGTCTTGCAAGACCGTGTTCCTTTGGATGCGGAAATGGATGCAAGTGAGGCTGTTGGTGAACCACTGGTCGACACCGATTTTCGTGGAGAACTCAGACAGAGAGAACAAGAAAGAGAAGGAAGCCCAAAGAGGCAGAAACAAGAACAATCCCGAGGAGAGAAAAGGAGTTCACAAGTCGACGTTGAAGATCTTTACAATGAATCTTCAGCTCAGGCTTCAGGGTCAGCCGGACCACCGGCACCGGATGCTTCATCTGGTGTTCCGGAAGGTGCTGCCGCTGCACCAACAAGTCCTGAGACAAACCAGGAGATGCTACATCTGTGTTCCTTGCTCAAAGATGTGATCGCAAAAGGGAAGGTTGCTGAGATCTTCTCTCCACCGCGTGTGGCTGCACAAGCCCAAGTGGTCGGGCTAGCACCTGGCTTCTCGATTGACTTGGAGACAAAGCGTGGTGATGGAACTCACTGGGACTTGAGTAAAGATGAACACATTCGTGATCTGTTTCAACTGCTTGACTATGAGAAACCAGAGTTCCTCGGCGGCTCACCTCCCTGTGGGCCATTCTCGAAGCTGCAAAACATTGTGGATGCGAAGGGCAATGTTTCACCTGAAGTTCGAGCGCAGAGACTAAAAGATGGTCGCAAACATCTGCGCACGGCAGTTTCAGCGTATGAGCATCAAATGAATGCTGGAAGGTACTTCTACCATGAGCACCCTAAAGGGGCCGCTTCGTGGGAAGAGAGAGCTGTGAAGAGACTGAGGGCAGATGAACGGGTGTATGAGGTCACTGGACCAATGTGCCGTTGGGGAATGAAGGCCGCCGATGGCCAAGGTGAAGGGTCAGTGAAGAAAGAAACTACCTGGCTCACGAACTCTCCAATCCTGGCACAGACCCTACAAGGGTGCTGTTCAAACAAAGAAGGCAAAGTTTGGCACCGCCATGTACATCTTGTTGATGGACGAGCCCGAGCTGCCCAGAAATACCCACCAAAGCTTGCCCACGCAATTCTCAAGGCCATTAGGCGCCAACTGGAATGTGATGGAGAACTACACTCACTTTCACATGGCCCAGTACCCGATGCTGGACCTGTGATCAATGAAGAGGAGGAGTTTTGGAAGCAGCTGCCCGACAGCGATGACACCATCGTGGAGCCAGTGCTTGACGCACACTCCGGTGCTGTCTTGGATGTTGACAAGGTCAGAGCTGCTCGACAAGAAGAACTAGCATGGGTACACAAACAGGGTATCTATATCAAAGTTCCACTCACAGAAGCCCAACAGTCTGGAAAACCGGTCATCACCATGAAATGGATTGACAGAAACAAAGGGGATGCAACACACCCCAACTACAGGTCACGTCTGGTCTGTAGAGAGATCAAACGGGCCAGCAATGCTGACTTCATTCCGGACTATGCGTCCTTCAGTTCGATGCCGCCTTTGGAATCGCTGAAATTGCTTCTATCGCTTATGGTGACTTTGAGACGATCCAAGTCTGGCAATGCACTGAAAGTTCGTCTTCTTGACATATCACGCGCTCACTTCTATGGAGAGGCAGAGCGTGATATCTTCGTGCAGTTACCTGAAGGAGATCGACAAGAAGGGTTTTGTGGCAAGCTCGTTAAGAGCATGTATGGAACACGCGATGCATCAGCGATCTGGCAAAGATCATATACAGAACTTCTCATCCGAGCTGGTTTTGCCAAGAATCAAGCTTGGCCATCCTGCTTTTACCATGAAGGTTACGGTGGTATTCGAGTTCTTGTACACGGAGATGACTTCGTGGTGCTTGCTGATGATGCTGGACAGAAATACCTTGAGGACACCTTGAGGTCCAAATATGATCTGCGGGTCGATGGATCGATCGGTCCTGGAGAACGGCATCAGCAGTTCGCAGTGCTCAATCGAATCGTGACCTACAACGAGCAGGAAGGCTCTGTATCCTATGAGGCGGATCCCCGCCACGTTGACCAGATGGTACGAGATCTAGAAATGGAAAACTGTAAGCCAGTCAAGACACCATCTGAGAAAATGTCAGCCACGGAGGCCAACTTGAAGTTGACCACCCCGACCATCACACCGGACCGTGTAAGTTTCTTCCGGTCTCTGGTGATGAGAGCGTCGTATGTGGCACAGGACAGACCTGACATCGCGGAGGCAGTGAAATGCCTATCAAGAAGAATGCATGAGCCCAAAGAATCTGACTTTCAGGATCTGAAACGCTTGGTGAGATTTCTGAAAGGGAAACCACGTGTACTTTTGAAGTTTGGTCGCCAGAAGTTTGCTGACACGATCCACATGTACGTGGACTCCGACTTCGCTGGGTGTCTTCTTACAAGGCGCTCAACAAGTGGACTTGTGGCAACCTTTGGCCGCCACACGGTGAAGGCCTCGAGCACTCTTCAGAGCACGATCAGCTTGAGTTCCGGTGAAGCGGAATACTACTCGATCGTTCGAGGAGTTTCCATCGGAATGTCGCTACAGGAGATCTTGCGAGGATGGGGCCTACAACCAAAACTTAAAGTGCACACAGATTCATCCGCTGCGCTGGGAACATGTAACCGTCAGGGCTTAGGCCGCTCACGGCATGTTCAAACTCGCTTTCTGTGGGTGCAAGAAAAGCTTGCACTACATGAATTCGAACTGGTGAAGATCCCGACAAAGCAGAACGTAGCTGATTTGTGCACCAAAGGTTTACCTGCGAATGAGATGGAAAGACACATGCAAAGCATGGGGTTCGAGTACTCTCATGGTAGAGCCGAAGCTGCAAAGGCTTTGGAATGAGTGTACATCAGCTTAGGAAAATCCCAGCCTCTGTACAGGAGGGGTGACGGGATATAGGGTTCTCACTAGTTGCTACGCCAACCTTTGGCTCAAGAACACCGCTGCTAAAATAGCGAGTTGCATATTCTCCGTTCATATATCATATTTTATCATATTGTATTATATTGATATATTTTCATGAATTAATATGAACCGAATATCCATTATTCATCCATCAATATCTCCAACCAAGGCCGCGGTGAAGAGTGGCAACCTCCCTCCAGCGGTGGCAGTGAGTCGCGGCCTGCACAGGCCATGTTGACCCATGTTGACCCCCATTTTTTCACCTGGCTTCAAATTGGGAACAAACATCAGGATGGATGGATTAAGGTTATCTAACATGACCAGAATCTGTGGCCCTCCAAGCCTTCAATTTTGACTCATACCCTTGTTATTAATTGATGCTGCTGTTGCTGCTGATGATGGTGATGATGTTTGATGATGTTTGATGATGGTCATTGGAGCCCCCTTATAAATGGATGTTTTGAATAGGAAATTCATTGAACTAAATGGAGGATTTTCCAGCAAACCATGTTTGATTACCAGAGGGTAGATGATTTTTGCATGACTTTGCAGAAAAGGAAAAAACACCTACTGACCTACTGCAGTTTTTTCCATCATTTTGGAGGATTGATTTTGTTTTTTTTCCCCCATATCGAGATGGCAACCTTCCTTGGGCCCAGGCAACGCAGCCATGGAGCACTGCGGTCCAAGCCCTCGAACCCGTGACATGGGCCCAAAAGCCACCCGAAATCTGTACGGGGACGGGCCCCAGCGTCCACCAGTGAAAGGAGGTGAAATAGCCCAGTTGCAATTCATATAACATCATATTATATACGTATATATATATATATATATATATGCGAAGCTGGTAGCACAAGGGATCTATCCAATGGGATCAACAGCACAGCACAAATCCGGTTAGCCGCAAGGCTCACGCATCCATTGCTTTTTCCATCCGACACGCCTCGAATTGGCGTCAAGGGCCCTTGGGCAAAGGATCGCGGATACACATCCACAAGTGGTGGTTATGGACCTGGCAGGTAAGACATGTGAGACATGTATGAATCACCCACTTTCACACGCCCTCTATCCAAGAGGATATGCCCAAGGAGATAAACTATCTATTCCATATTGTACTGCGCAGGCTCATTGCAGCTGCGACCAATCCATGCACATAGATCTCTGTGATCTCACTTGCGCAATTCGCGCTTGAATCCACCTCCATGGCTTTGCTGAACATACTTGACACGGCACAGGAAATGGGCAAAATCCACACCCTGGGTATAGCTGGTTGTCTTTTTGTTCTTCACATGGGGGCCAAACGTCTCGATGATGTAGTTGGCATACTTGGAGAGATCAGGATCATTCTTTGCACGCTCAAGAAACTGGCCATAGGTGATCTTGAGATCAGCGACCTTGGGGAGCTTGAGCACGGTCTGCGACCATTCATCCACATTCGCCACATCATTCGGCATGGGAATCGTCACATCTTCATCATTGGTGAATCCTTTCCCAGACCCTGGAAATGGCGGCTCAACATGTGGCATCATTCCTTGGTAGGAGATATCAGGATATCTTGCACGGCTCGAAGCAGCCGGGGAATTCACACCTGACTCCGTCACATTATCCCAACTTTCCAAATCGAAATCACGCTGGCGCTTTGAACTATCGGCCATGGTGCCGACCTCTTCTCCAGTGTGCTTCAGGAAGTAATAGGCATTGACTGCGAGCGGCTTCCCACCAATCGAATTGAAAATCACCTTGGACAACCTTTGAGACTGTCCATAGGTAATGGCACGGGCGAGCAAACCACCGGCCATATGCATCTCAGGTTCACTCAGTGGTCCTTGCACTGAGTCTGACATTGCTGTCACACACTGGTGCTTGGTGGCCTCCATATTGCTACCCTATGGATTGGGAGTCACGTCACTGAGACTGCTTGACAAGGCAAAAAGGCTGACGCAAACAGGTTTTCCAACTTGCATCATGCTTCACAACGGCTTGCAGTTTTGGCTGGCTATGCTTAATTATCCCCACTATCCCCAACTTATCTATACACTATACATTATTTCACATCAGGCTTATTAGTGGCGGTTATCCACAGATTCACTGAAACCCCACATGCTCGGCTGAGCGGCTGATCTGGCAAAAAGGGGTTGTGGAAAACTTAGGAACCCTCGCCTGCTTTCTCTCGGCGACCAGAAACGGAACATACTTTTATTTGGTAAACCCCTCGCTCAAGAATCTCATAAAGAAGCTTGGTTTCTCCTTTGAGTTTTGTCAAACAATCAGCGGCCATACGCAAGTTGTTTACCCAGAACGGGGTGATGTTTTGTTTCTGCATGGTTTCTTTTGCAATGGCATAGTCTATCTGCAACCTTCGTTCTACAGAAACGGCCTGTGAACAACAGCTTCTGGTGATGGCATCATAAAAACCTTTTGAATCTATCACCAAACCTGCTTCATGTTTGGGGGTCATCTCACGGAATTGTCGGGGAGTGACATTTCTCAGTGTTTCTTCCATGAGTGCTTGGAAAAGTTCAACTGCATCCAAACCATTCTGACCAGATAAGGTTTCTGCAGCAACTGATGAGCGAACAGCTCTCTTCAACTTTTTGGACGACCAATCGACGAGCCAGCATTTGGCCTGCTCACGTTTGAGCATCTTCGATTCAGCTATCAAAAGTAGATAACCACCTTGGCTATCTCCATTGTCTCGGGTGGCCCATCCGGCATCTGTTATGCAAACCAGTCTCCAATCATCTATTGGAACACTGCTGGGAAAGCGAAGACACACCTTTTTCTCTTTCATTTCACGGATACCCTTATTATAGAGTGCTACATGAGATACTAACCCCTTATCTTGAACTCCCTGCAGGTATGAAGATAAAAAGGCTTGATCTGGGCGCGTTGCATTGGAGACCCATGCAAGTTGGCCAGCACATGTCCTCAAAAGGGATTTGTCCGGAAGCGGCGTGCTTGCGACACCTAGAGGCTTGGTCTGCACACATTCCAAAGCATCGATGTATGTCTCTTGACCTATCTCTATTTCATAGGTTTTTGGACATTGGCGTATTTCTATGCCTGTGTAGCGAATGGTAAAGGTTCGGTAATCCCCAAAAGGAAGTTTGGCTCTGAGTTTGGTGAGGATTGCTTCCATGGCTGGTGTTCCTCCACCTAGGAGGTCATCAACATGTATACCACATACTCCAACCAATTGACCTTTGACACGGAGGGTAAACAGACAGGGATCTATTTGACTCTGCTGCAGTCCGGCCTCACGCATCTCTCGGGAGAGTCTCAAAAACCATGCCCTTGGGGCTTCAGCCAAGCCGTAAGCGGCTTTCTCAAGACGAAACAAATCATCCTGGGACAGCTGCAACCATTCTTTGAGTTCAGGTGGTGGCTTGAAGTATATTTCTCTTGCACTGTTATCCCCAGATAAAAATGCGGTTTTGATATCAGCCCCAAACACCTTCCACTTTTTGGCAGAACAAACAGAAAGGACTAAATGCTTGCTCTCTTTTCGAAGTGTTGGACTATCAGTGGCAATTTTACCTAGTTCAGGGTCTTCCCAACCGATTAGGACTAATCGTGCCTTTGGAACTTTGGACCTGTCATCTGGGTCGGAACTTTTCTTCCATGTGAGTACCCATCTTGCACGTATAACCCTTTCTGGTGAAATACCCCGGTTTTTGCAAAGAGAAGTTACTTTGTTATCAACCCAAGATTGCCACTCTTTTTGCATTGCCTTTTTGAACAACTCCTTATCAGAAGGTGACAACTTTCTGTAGCTGACTTCAACCCTTCGGAGCTTGGCCTTTGGAGTGGAAACTTGGAGACACTCATCAAGCACATGCCACAGACACAAATGATCGCCGGAAATGTCGTCTCGACATACGTTCAGCGAAACTTCCAACACGCTTTCGGAACGGCGGCACTTTTCAGACCCTACATCAACCATGAGTTCATCATCTTCAGGGACAGGTTGATGAATGGCTTTTTCTAATTGTTTCTCAACACTAGTGCTAGGTTCCGGCACGCTGGAAACTGAGTGCTCTGGCGGCTGGTCATCCATGACTTCGTCATGTGAATTGGACACGTCATCTGGGGCTGCAGGCGGCAACTCTGGCATGTCTGGCTCCATGGGAGCTTCGGGCATTGCGTCATCAGGCGCTAGTGAAGGAGAATACCCATCATCCTGTGGCTCAGGAACCTCTTCCATTTCTTCTTCAGGGATATCTTCCAACACTGCTCTACGCTTACTTGGGGGTTCATCGGGATTTGTTTCATCAAAAGTAACCCTATGAGGAATGGGACCCTCTTGCAGTGAACCCAGTGGTGACATGCCCCTAGCACGTTTTTGCCAATAGTCGGATGACCTGGTGATACGAAGTCTTACCCTACGGGGACCACTATCATCATCCAAGCTATTACGTCTTTTACGGGGACCACTATTACCATCATCATCATTGTCATCCGGACTATCCCCATCATCTGGATCATCCTCCATATCTTGACTCAACTCTTCATCATCTTCAAGAGGGATATCATTGGTCAAGTCTTGGTATTGGGGACATCGGCTTGAAAGGCTTTGCTCAGCATGTTCGATGGCAGGGTCAAGACGACCTTGTGCTAGGCTCTTGGCAAGTTCCCTGAACTGGTGTTCATCTTCGGTTAGGGGTCTAAGTCCTTCAGGTGAACATTTATAAATGAACCCATTAAAGGCTACCCAGACTACCCTTGGAACTACCCCATTATTGGAAGAGCTTTCGGTGCCTATGACTTTTCCTGGCCCGTACCAGACCCCATGACGAGTCGATAGCAAACCACGGGCTCGCTTGCGAAAGAAGTAAACCAATTGCCCTTGTTGGTATGGCCCACGGATTGGACGGTTTCGTCCTGCAAGCGCTCTCCTCCAAGTGTCTTTGGAGTGTTCTTCAAGAAAAGCTTTTGCTGCGGCTTCTCTCAGGAGCACTTTGGATTTAAACTCAGGTTCGGCAAGGACTTGTGACTGGACAGGAAAATTGCGTTGCTCATCAACATCTTCTAACATGGCTGCATGTTTGGGATCCTGACCTAGAAACCATTGGCTGGGGCTATATCCATGCTTACGGAGGTGCTGGTTTCTTATGCTGGCACAAGTTTCTATGACCTCAGCTGGAGGCCTTTCTGTATCTTGCCAGACCTTTTGGGCCATGCCGCGAAGGACGCGGTTTGCAACTTCAACCCTTCCCAACTGCCAGTGACTTTCGGTACCACAGTGAAGGAGCTGGATGCCATGCATCAACATGTAATGTTGGAAATCAGCTGAAGTGGTAGGCGATGCAGGATCGGTGAATATGATTTTTGGGGCACCAAACGGTCTCGTCCATACTTCATGAAAAGCCTTGGACATCTGATGGGAACCCTTTTCAACAATCACCTGTTGTGCAAAGTCGGTTGCAAGGTCAACACAAGTTAACACATTAAACTTTTGCTCAACAACCTTACCACTATTATCAACATGTTTCAGCTCAACCTGGACAAAGTCGACACCGACAATCTGGTTGGGTTGCTCGGCATGTGGAATTGCTGACTGACGGCGTGAGGCAGGCACTTTGTGTTCATCACAAATGGCACAACGAAACTCCTTTATTTGCTGTTTGACTTCTTGGGACACTTGGCATCTATTTGCTAACCTCAAAAGTTGCTCATTGGAGGCATGCCCGGTGTTCACATGGAGTTTGCGTATCATGGCTTGGATACGCTGTTTGGAAACGGTTGATTCTTCATCCGCCCTCACAACATCAGCAGGCTCTGCTGGATCAGCAGATTCCAATTCATCGTCAAATTCGGCAAAAATGTCCAGAGAAGGCTTTTGGCTCTGAACACGCCTGTGGATGACTTCAGCAATCACTCGGCACATCTTCCTTGGGTATGTTTCGGCATAGGAGGTCAGTGGCTTACCTTTGTAACTACCTTCCAAATGCGCATGCTGGTGGCGATGGTCACACCTACACTGGACTAAACGTTCAGCCATCATTCGACAAGAGGTCACAATTCTGGTTGGCTTTAGTACAGGCAAATTGGTGCGAACACATCGGAGACCCAAACTACACTGGTCGATGCGAACAACATAGGCATGAGGCAAACGAAGTTCTTTCCAGGCATCGGATGTGAGAGGGTTCTCAACATGTACATGTCCACCCGAGGACTGCTGAAGATTCCACACTTCAGGCACGACAGAAAGGTGGCGTCGCGCTTGACGTCTTGCATCCAAAACATCTTGGCACAGCTCGGCACTACGGTGCATGTTCATGCGGCTCCATGGACCCCAACAACCACAAGGAAAACTTATCCAAACATCGGCAGGCTTGCAGTATGCTATTAAAAGGAGAAGCTTTCTGCGATCATCATGTTTGTTCAGGTCTTGTCCATGGTCGAGGCCGATACGAATGCACGAAGTTTGGCACTGGTGTTCAGTCCGGTCGGACAGTGGTGCTTTGCCGGTGAACACTTCGATCAGCGACACTGTCTCATGCAGTTTGTGGGCTTGGGGACCTAGCCAATCGCTTAACTCTTCAAGGATGACGTTGGGATCTCCTAACAAACGTGTCATGAGAAACTGTGCATAGGTGTGCCTAAGCTTTTGGATATTGTTTTTCAACTTTTCTAGATCTTCAGGGTCTATGTTCTTATTGGGCAGGTTGCTCCAATCCACATCTTCCCCATAAAGTACTTCGGTATCGACCCCTACTTGATCATCATTTTGGAGGTTCAAATCCTCGCCCTCTGAATCACACTCCCTGCAGCAGAAACAGTGGTGATCATGGTGCGCATCACCTGAGGAGCTTTGATGATCCTCAGTGGAACCTAGGGCTACGTAGGCAAACAGGCTTACGTTCACTTGACTGACAGGACGGCGGACAGGTCCTGCATTTCGTGTGCTCCATGGTTCAACATGAAAAACCCCATCATCAGTAAGGGAAGCTACGGATCTTTCATATGACATGACATCCGCATCAGTGGGCATACGTTCAAGTCTGGGGCGGTATGCAACAAATGCATGGCTGATGTCATGGGCTTTCTTACCAAAAATCATCACCAGTTCCGACTTGAATCTATCCACATTAACTATCCCCCTACGAGTATTCTTCACAACATGTTGAAGGGTTTTGCGCCTATCACTCACAGTTACCCGACCTTTATTGGGTGGCTTCTGACAACCCTGGTCCTGGAAGTGCGAAGGGCAATGCGAATGCTCAGGGCTCTGATTGGTATTGGGCTCATTGGTCTCTACGAGGTGCTCGGCATGGGCACACTCTTCATTGGTTGCAAACTCAGGCTGCTGAACCATCAACGGCAGGAGCAAATGACCATTGGATGCTTGTCGAAGGGGTGCATCAAACAGTTCATGCTTTTCTGAAGTGATGGTGAGCTTTCCCAGGTCTAATCTAGCTTGCATACCCTCCAGAACTCGGCGAGATAAAAGGAAAGGTGCAGCACCTGGAATGACATAAGTGGTGATAGTTCCCCACAAACTTCCCAGCTTTACAGTCCACTTCAAACCATCAGTGGAAACCTCACGGTTCCCGTTGAAGCCTTTCAACTCCACGGGCGGCAGCTGACAGGAAATTGGGGCAGGCCAATGTAGAGACTGCATGTATTGGCTATATCGTTCAGCAGTTTCAGAACCAACAATTGATGTCGTACAGCCTGTGTCAATAATTGCAAAACCACCAGGAACAGAAGTCAACCAGATTTCTTCAGTCAAACTCCGTGAAGACACCATGTAGGAAAACTGCTCAGCAACCACCGAAGAAGTGGTGAGATTAGCTTCCTCACGCTTTCCAGAGAATCGTGAATCAGGCTTTTTCTTGGGGGCAGATTTCCCAGAAGGTTTACGGTCGTACCCAAAGTTTTGCTTGACTACAGGAGCTTGGCTGGAGGAGGCATTTTCTCCAGACTGATTCAAGGCTACCACAGGCAGGTATGGTGTTCGGCTCTTCTTGATCTCCCGAACCTTCTTACGACTTTCTTTGTAGGTCTTGAAATTCTTTCGGAACTCTCTCTTGGCCTTTTTCTGAACTTCGTAGATTTCTTGTAACTCTTCGTTTGTACTATCACCAGCGTCTTGCTCAACAGCTAAGGCATCATCAGATTCGGACTCCAAGTCATCTTCAGGATTCATGATGTCTGAAGAGGAGTCATGATCATCTGCAACCAAAACTTGTTGTTCAGCCTGAACAGCATAGGCATCTTTTCTGGCATGCTTGATGGGCTTTCGTTCCTCTCGTCTGCGATCGTCAGAACGGAATTCTTCTAAGTCAGAGGCTCGAACAATACGTTCGACATCTTCCAGTCTTGATGATCCATTTGTAGAACGAATGATGTGAGCTCGTTGTTCACGGTTCAACCCAAACTTACGCATGAATAAATGACCCAGAATTGCTTGAGGAAAAATAGGCTTCGGCTTCAAATGTCCATGTTCCAGGGATCCAAGCATCTCCATCATGCGACGATTGTCACGCTCTTGGTCAGACTTGTGAGTTCCACGAGACAATTGGGAAGCTCGTGAACCCTTTGACGCATGTGAAGCTCTCTCACGCTTGGAACCAGCAGAAGAAGGAGGCTTTGAACGCCCAGTTTGAGCACTATGCTCAGCTTCATCGGTCGAATGACCAGCAGCTGCAGCCGATGCTGTGGCGCCAGCAGGGGCTGCTTCTTCCTCAGTAGCAGGCTCAGCTTGTTCAGGATCTTTGGGACCCTCAGATTTATCTGATTCTTCCAGACTGCTCGATGGTTGCTCAGGCATGTCAACATCTGTGGCATCTCGCTTTTTGCGACCACGCTTGGGCTTTTTGCGGGTGCGATGCATCTCACGCTCTTGAGCTATCAGTGTTTGGACACGATCTAACTGAGTGCGAAATCTTGAACTGAAAGAAGTTGCTCCTTCTCCAGGCCTACGTTTCATAGAAAACAAGAACTCCTCCACTGCTTCATGGAGCTCTGTTTCAGGCAGAAAACGGTAGTGGAGGTCAAGGGCATGAATCACTTCTAACCATCCATTCTGTTTTCGCAAATCAGCAATCTTCAGATGTTCCGTCGCTCTCCATGCTTCGCCTTGCAAACGTTGCAAAAGGCGAGGCCCAGCTAGGTGTGCATGGCGATTTTCCAGTCCAGCAACTGCAAGAATGGTTTTGCGGCGAAAATCTCTGTATCCAGAAGGCTTACCATCGAATTGCAAATCTCTGAAGGTATCTTTGGATTCCATCTCAAATCACACTGTGGAAAACTGTTGTATTGCACTGTTGTATTTGTAGGTTGCAAGTGTAGCTAACGCAGTTGTGTGTGGAACTTGCGGTCAGGATAGACCTCTAAGCAAATGCTCAGCTTACTGCAAAGTGCAGTCACACGGGTCAGATGACCCCAACCACCTGGATCACTCGAGGTGCGCAGAAGCTACCTGAGGTAGCTCCGCTACCATGCGAAGCTGGTAGCACAAGGGATCTATCCAATGGGATCAACAGCACAGCACAAATCCGGTTAGCCGCAAGGCTCACGCATCCATTGCTTTTTCCATCCGACACGCCTCGAATTGGCGTCAAGGGCCCTTGGGCAAAGGATCGCGGATACACATCCACAAGTGGTGGTTATGGACCTGGCAGGTAAGACATGTGAGACATGTATGAATCACCCACTTTCACAATATATATATATGTATTAAATATATATCCCTCTGGGGCGGACGTTCGCCCAAAGTTTCATTGGGGGTTTAGTTACGTTGTGATTTGTCCAGTATATATTTCAGATTGTTTTAGGGTTTGCTTAGGGTTGGTTTAGTGTCTAGGGTTATTTAGTGTTGGTTTAGGGCTTGTGTAGGGTTTATTTGGGGTTTGTTTAGTTAATTCTCGTGTTATTTCGGCTTGTCTTAGGGTTTGGTCACGGTTGTTTTAGTGTCTAGGGTTATTTAGTTTTGATTTGGGGTTGGTTTAGGGTTTATTTAGGGTTAGGTTACTTTGGTGTTCTTTCAAAGTCTTGCGGTTTGTTGAGGTCTCAATTAACGGCTCGAAACACTGCAAATTACAGAGGATATCTGTAAGATACGCTTCAAAAGGTGATTTTGGCACCGTCTTAGGTAAACGCAAAAATACGGCGAGACGCAGCTAATATCAATATTTGCATGCTCGCAGTGTGCGAAAAACGCATGGAAACAACACAGCAGATTGCAGTCCCGCATGGAATTCGGTGGATTTCGGGCAAACGTCAGCCCCCTAGCGATATGTGTATATCAAATATAACTATCTCTGTCTCTGAATGCGTCAATCCCTATCAACCAACATCAACCAACCAGTACTGTGCGACGAAGGGGCTTAACCCTACGGCTTTTCGGTCCTGAAACGAAATGCGACGTGGCCGCTATGCAGCGAAAAGGCTGAAACTTTGGTTTAGTCCTGTGAGTGCTGAGGAACTCATTCTCACAGCAGATGTTTCACAGAGTTTCCACGAAAAGACAGGAACTGCCACGTGAATGCTGCCTTTGCTCTTCTTTTTCGGCAGGTCCCATGAACATCTACAACCAACCATGTTAGTGTTGGACTTTAGGGCAAACATGCCATAAGGGTTAAATCATATATGGTCCCAATCATTTGTTGCTTGGCCGAGTTAGAGATTTTTACAGCTATGACAGGTAGCACTTCACTGGCAGCCTCCTAAGAAGGGCGTGTCCAGTGCGGCCGGTGCCACAAAGATTTGGCGCTGGCCAACTGCTCTACGCTTGGCTAACTATATAGTGGCCTCATGAGATTAAAAAATCGGTCAGAGAGGGGAATGGAGCCTGGCCGGGGGGTTGGGTGGTAAAGGCAACCTCTTTCCACCGCTGAAACTTCTAGGTGACCACTGGGTTTCAGGTGACAAGCCACGGTCCACCGAACTGAGAGACATCCAGATAGACATCCAGATCCATAGGTTACTAGGTTGGAGGTGGTTTTGAGAGCAGTCAATAGAGACAATATAGCAATTTTTGAACGTTTCCGTAGTCTTAAGGCAGATAAGGTCCCAACATTCCTGGTATTCAGTGGTTTTAAACAGTTTTAAATACTCTTGATAACATATTTTCCATCCTGGTGATGATGATCTCAATGGACAATATTATTTCGCAGTTTGACCTCAGTTAATCTAGAGAGAAAGTTTATGTTCCACGGTTTATTCCGCAAGTCAAGCGCAAGACACATGTTTCAGGGTTTGAAACATACTCTTTGCCCAACTTGCTTTTTTATCCAGATATCGTTTGTGTTTCAAAGGCAGATCCTTTAGAAGTCTCACATCGAGGAAATTCGGTGCAGACTCCTCTCCAAAGATTTAGGCAACTATCTTGTTGCCACCCCGATGGGGTGACACTGTTGGCACCAGCCACTTGAATTTTCAGATCAGAAGTTCGAAGATATATCAACCCTCCAAAATGGGGTGAATGCGAAAGAGGGACACATTTTTCAGGCGCCATTTGGAAATTTTGGTATCGCCAAGAGCTCTGGCCCAAACACGGGAGTCCAGGGCAAGAGGCCCGAGAGTAGCGTTGGGGTCCAAGGTGTTGGAGCTCTGGAACCCCAAATTTTGCTGGGAAACCCCCTTTGGTATCCCAAGAATTTGGATGACTGTGGACACACACCGTTGAAACCCATGGATTTCCTGCAAAATCCCCAATCAACCATAGTATAGTCATAGTATACCACAGTCTCTGGCCGTTGGGCTGGGAGTGAGGTGCGAAATGCTGAGAGGGCTTCGAAACACGTGGCAGACCCAGCCTGCTGTATATGGGCACCGGTGGAACTTATCAGCCCTCAAAGAGGATGGTTCAGTGCCATTGACACATAGTGGCACCCCAAGCCATCCATAACCTGTCCAAATGAAGATCTGTATGGAAAAACTATCATTGAAAAGCTGAATTTACACATATTTCAACACATTTTAAAAAAAACATTTAAACACATTTAAACATAAGGATCAGTGTCCCTTCCTCCCCCTTCTGCCTCCGCAAGCGAGGCTCAGTAAGTCGGGCACCAGCGGCTTTGCCGCGGGCAGCGGAGCACAGGGTGCTACGGTGATCAACAAAGACAGCGAGGCCGAGGCGTTCCTTGGGGACTGAGGAAAAATGATGGGGACTTGCACTCCAAAGTGTTCTTTAAGTATTTGGGATATTTTATGATATTCTAAGTTGTGATGTAATATGATATAATTCACGGATGTTAAATGATGTTTATGGGATACGCAAAAAAAACGTCACGGGGAGTTGAGGGGAGAAGCATCCCAAATGGGTTTGGATCAGGCTGTGGGAAACACGATGATTGGCCCAGATAGTTGGATATAGTTGGAAGATGAAACAAGAGGCAAATGCTGCGGAATTTTCAGATGGCAATGTCATGAATCCTTCGAAGGGCTTTGTTGGACATCCTGCACCAGTCGCTATGTCAGCTATACAACTACTGTACTTTACTGTACAATATCGGGTTAACCCGGTATGTGACCAAAGCACGGGTGCCAGCAGGGACTGATGTCTTTTTTGGCTCCATTCATTTTTGAGCTGGGCCATAACCAAAACCATGATATGCTGCATGCCTGATTCTCATTGGACCTGTGTATGTGGTAAACCTAATGACAACCTCCCAATTGAGATGGTTATTTACATAGTAGTTTTTCACACCCCATTTGCAGAATACTTATGTCTTTTTTTTTGGTTGTAAAAAAACAATACAAAACAAACAACTGTACAGGCAGATGTTGAAGGCGGTACCGGTGGTATAAAATAGAGTTGTTCCCTTGTAAAAAGCAGTCAAGTGAAGGCGGTACCTTTAGCGTTTAGTATGCGTTTCACAGACATTGGATTATACATGCCAGACCTTGGATCATCAAAATGGAAAGACATGCAATTGAAATGAAAGGATATGAATACAAGAAGCAAGAACATGAATGCAAATTGACGGAAATAAATGCTAAATGAAGCAATGCGAATGAATGGAACATAATTCGCTCAAGTGGTTTGGGCAGGTCTGAAGCATTAGTAAAAGCCAGCGTTCCGTGGGAACGTTGAGTGATCAACCAAATATGTTTAGTAGTTTGGGTACCGGCGTTCCATTGGAAAGAGGCTTCTGGAAGTGAGTGTTTTTACGTCTACCAACCGTAAGCGTTAAAGCGTTTCCATTGGGTTTCATAGTCCAGGTCCTGCCTTTTCTGACTTAGCTGTGACCACGGCGTTCCATGCAGGAACACATATTCTAGCACCATCGGTCCTGCCTTCAACGTCCACCTGTACAATATTATAATATTATATAATATTGTTGTATAATATTCTGATGCTAAAACATGCAAATCCCTGTGGGTTACTTATTGGGACCTCCGCATACCACTTCATCCACTGGACAGGCTGGGGCAGCATCTTCTCAGCCGGCCACGAACGAAGGGAGCGCCGTTCCCGGGGGAGAAACTGATGTTGGTTGGATGTTTCTGTTTTCTATACTCTTTGGTTATTTAACATAGCTATGGAAAATTGCACATTTATAGTTGATTTTTGATGACTTATCAATAAAACAATAGTTTTTCCATAGCTATATGTTAAATAGGCAGAGGGTACACTCCACATCATTCCATCAAATTCGGATTTGACTGATTTGATTTAGCCATGGGAGACGGGGAGTCTACCAAACTGTTGATGTGGGGAAGCATCCCTAACAATGGCATACTTCCAGTTTGGGAATGATTACCATTTGGCCAGATTGATGAGGGTTGGATGTGTTTTGCTTCGGATGTGTCAAACTATGTGCAAACTTTTGCCCACAGATTTTCGTCATGTAGTCATTTTCAGGCGTACCGGCACAGGAAATGGCCTTAAATCGCTTAATGAAAAAATTGATGGTTTCAGGTGAAAGTTACCAGACATTTGTGGTTAAGTTCCATGGGTCTCAATTTTGAGCCATGCCCAAATATTGCAGGCAAGAAAATTTCAATGAATGATTTTCAGATGCTAGGGACATGGTGCTGCATCAGTGTGGGGTTCCTCTGCTTGCGAGGAGTGCTGCGGCTGCAGATACAGCAGCGGCAGCTGCGTTGGCTGCAAATGCAACAGGAAAGACGGCTGCTGTCTCCAATGCAGATGCAGATGCAGCAGCGGCAGCTGCGCTGGCTGCAAATGCAACAGGAACGACTGCTGCTGTCTCCAATGCAGATGCAGATGCAGCAGCGGCAGCTGCGCTGGCTGCAAATGCAACAGGAAAAGAAATCGCAGCTTGACTGCGGAGATTGAAATCGTGGTCCCCAAACGAGAATTGGGTCCCATTTTCAGACCCCCGAGCAACAATGTTTGGCATTGTTCAATGTTGTTTTCATCTAAATCTGCGGATATTTGATATCCGATCGCCGATACTGATCAAACCCAAATCGATGCAAGAATTGAACTGTTACAGCAGTATATAGAGAAAACCAATTTCCATGAATTTTGGGGCCACTAAAGACACGTGCCGACTGTCCAGCTGCTGGTTGTGAAGACCAGCGGTGGGGGTCTTGCAAAGCTCTTTCTGATCGTTCTCTCGACATACAGACCTTCAACATAGAAGAAAAGAATCACTCCATTGAGCACAGGCCCTATGGAACGATGTCGATCAAACTTTTGGACGACTGATCGTCTCCGGAAAGTCACAATTTTCGTTGCAATGAAGGTGTAACCCCCTTGAATTCAATTTTAACACGTTGCACGTGTATATATATATAATATATATATATATTGTTATTAAATGATGATTATTATTGATTATTGTTATTAGTACGATTATATACTATTATTGGTATTATCATCATGCTTATTATAATAATCATTATCATTACTATGTGGCTTATCTGTGTCTTGTTCTTATTTGTTACATAGTAATAAGTGTAAACATATTACAAACAACAAACAAAATAACAACAATAATGATCATGATGGTAATAAATAAATACATCTGTCCATCTATCCATCCATCTATCCATCCATCCATCCATCCATCCATCCATACATACATACATACAATATCACATCACTCCCAAGTCTGCATTCACTTGTCATATGTATATTTATATATACATAGATATTAATATTATCATTTTTATTACTTTTCTTATTCTTTTTCTTACTACACACATATATATATTTATGTAGTAAGAATAATAAATATACAAACAAACACATAAATACATGAATAAATCAACAACTAAATCAATATAGATGAATAGTTAAATAGGTAAATAAATAAATCATTAAATGTGCCGTGGATTTTCAGTTCTCCCGTGGTTTTCCCACAAAACTCGCCACTGTTTGTCCAGGTTCCTGCTGAAGCTCCATCTGCAGAAGAAGCCTTGGAGTTTGAGGAGATCTGATTGGGGTAGGATGGGGAAAAACGGCAGGAATCCCATGGTTTCCACATGTTTTTTCTTTCAGTGTTTTGATCTTGTTTGTTGACATTTTAATCGTCCACATGCGGTGGACACTGTGGGAACTAGCCAAAATCTAGGGGAAACAATTTTTTCCATGAAGATATAGAGGGGTTCCCTGCAAATTGCAGCCTGCAGAATGATGGCTAATTCGCTTGGCTAATTTTTATTGAAGAAACTAAGCTCAGGGGTGCTGCACGTGAAGAAACATCCCTGCGCTGCCCCCTTCTGTTTGTTATAGTTCTATTGATTCTACAGTAGTTTTCTTTAAACAAAAACCTTGTCCAATTATTGTAATTGTATTTTTCCTAAATTTGGTATTATTACTGGAATTATTGAAGTTTCCAATTTTTGGATCCCTTCCAACTGCCTGGTATTTTTACGGACGACGAGGAGCACTGGAGCTACATCGAGTCCTTAGGCTTGGCGAAGCTGCCGGGGGAGGAGCTGCCAGGGGTTCCCATGACACAGCTGGTGCTCCCAAGGAGAACTAGTTGTTCAATTCCTGGGAGAATGGAATTTTGACTTGAAAGAGAGTTATTGGTCCAGTTTCATCCATTTCAATCAATTTTGACGATGACGATGATGATGATGATGATGATGCTGATGCTGATGCTGATGCATGTTTGATTTCTAATGACCAAACATCTGTCTCCAGATCTTGATGTCTTGTAACTCAATGGTCATTTTGAGATCCCGAAGGCCACCAGGTGGGTCCATTTTTATCGGTTTCCAGGAGCACATTGTCCGCTTCTTGGCGGATAGCATCACGGCCTCTCCACTCCCAGCTCCATGGGTGCCCGGCTCAGTTTGTGTCATCCACACAGTGACTGAAGGAATCCATAGGAATCCCATGGATTCAGTTTCTTTGGAACACAAAGAGAAACCAATGTTTCGGGAGATGGTGAGCCAAAACCATCTTGGGGTTTGTTGGTCTTTGACGAAAACAACCGAGCATTGACACTGTGTCAGCAAGGTGCTTCAAGGTTTCTATACAATTAAATATAATTAGGATTAGGACCTCTCAATTTTCCAGGCCCTTGGTATCCAAGAATGGTTCTCAAAAAAAAACTGATTAAAAACAACAGTTTGGCCAGGGTTTCCTGTGGGTTTTCTCATGTTTTTGCTGAGGCCGCACATCGGGACGAAGAGGGCAAGGTCTTTTATGGCAACCCCACCACTGGTGAGACCTCTTGGGAGCATCCCTTGGAGGAACCAAAACCGATGGGGTTTTGCAGATTTTCACCGAACATCCAGGATTTTGAAGGAAATCCATGGAGATTCACTGATCATTTGAAGGATTTTCCGTCATTTTCCACCATTTTTACGAATTTGTTGAATCTGATCTCCATGTTTTGTGGCCGTTTTTTATTTTTGCAGCGCTGCAGGATGTGATCCGGGAGCTGGCAGGGATGTGCCGAGTGTGCGTCTCCTTGTCCCGATCCATGCGAGAGCGTTCCATTGCGGACCTGCGCGAAGCCTGGGAGGCGATGGGTGATGGGTTGGGCAATGGGTCGAAAAGGATTAGTGAGTTGGGTGAGTTGAGTGAATTCTTGAGGCATAAGTGGATTTTTTGTTCTACAAAGTGTGAGATTGGACTTTGGGACTGAAATACAGCTCGGATTTGGTAAGCTAGGTCACACCGTGACGTGGGGACTGTGGGCGGCAAGCTCAATTCTTTTTCTTCATGCCCGCCATTTGCAAATCTTGCTGCCTAGCACTGTAATTACTTACAAGTAGCGGAGCGTCAACTGCACCCCCACCCGAACCCACCCCGCCCCAACCCAACGGAACATCATTCTAGTGTCAAGTTGCAAGAGTAATGCGAAGCCACAGTCCCCATAGCGTTACCCGGGATCCTGCCTTCCCATTGTATCAACATGTAGCTGTTCATCCACACTCCACAGCGATCCCAGAAGGTGAGCATGCCAGGTACAAGCGAAGGAGGAGTTCTCGCAGTGGTACAGCGCCAAAGACCAGTCCTCCGGGAAGGAGTCGGGATGCCCAAGTGGCAAGTGGCCTGGAGTGCTTCAACTGCTATGGTCGGTTTGTTGGTATAAAATTCCCCGTGGAAAGATGCGGAAAGCAGGGATAGAGTACCAGAGAGAGGAGCTTGGTCTATAGTCCATACTATTCTAGTCGCTTCGCGACGACAACCGCCCGCACCGGAATCGTTTGCTCAGGGTAGAATGTGTGAACTCCCGTTTGTCACGGTTTTCCTCACAAAAAACTTTGTGAGACCACTATAAACTTTGTGAGGCCATTATAAAAGATTATAAAATGTGTACCTATGTGTACCTCTTTTCTGGTCAAGTCTCAATGAATGGTGTCCTAGATACAGACTTTATAAAGTTCCAAGACGCTCCTAGAAATCCAATTGTAAGATTTGTTTGTTTGGGGCAATGTCTTAGAGGATGTGATATTCTGTTGAGCTGTTTGTACCCATTTGTACCCATTTTGTACCGGTGTCGGGCTCATCCTGGGCCCAGTTTGATTCCATGTAGCCGGTTCGAACCGAGCCAAAATGGCCTAAGACCCACTTCAAAGACTTGGGCCCAACACGAGATCCTAAGTGGTCCAATGCAACTTCAAACAACCCCGCATCCTTCCACTTTGCAAAACAAATCTCAAAGATAAGATACAAAGAATCAACCCAAAGTGGGTTCAGACTGGGAATTCCGGACATGCAATGCACCAACTGTCACAACATGGGCCAATCAACACTGAACATAGGTTCGATGTAGTTTTGGCATGGGCTTGAGCATGACAAACATGCCCAAACAATCCCAAACATGTGTTTTTCTTCGCTTTTTTTTCCTATTCTTTTTGTTCATTTGGACCTATTTCGTTTTGTCGCAATGTTGGGCCATGTTGGGCCTATGTTGGATGTAAGTCAGACCTATATTGGGCAGCTTAGTCAATTTTATTGGAGCAAAAATGCCCCCCCACAACTCAAAACTTAATAGTTATTGCATTTGCTCCTGATTAACGCGTGCACAAAAAAAATGCCTCGGCCCCCAGTTGCAGAAGGCATCCACTTGGGTAAAGTTGGACCCTGCCAAAGGTCACCCCCCCCCGGTCCTGAGATACTACTGCAACTCACTGACCAAGGAGGTCCGGCCGAAAGTAGCTGATTTGTGATGTGGCTTCGTCAAAAAACGGGGATCCTCGACATGTTCATTTTCATAGTGAACATGATGATACATCATGGTGTTTGGGTGGGATATACTGTATCACATTTTGATACAAACCAATTTGGGACTCTTGAGTTCCCAAGGTTCCGAGACAGCTGTCAGTGATAGTGAGAGTTTGGGATATATCACGATTTGATAGTATCTAATACGCAACGATGCTGATATGGAGATCACCAGTGCCATAAAACTTGGAATCCAAGCAGCTGCTCGTCCAGACGATGTGGGAACATCCTGCAGAAGTGCTGCTACCTGGTCACTTCCTAAAGCTGAAGAGTGCTGACAGGTCGCTCCAAAGGAATCCTGGGGTTAAGCAGATGCAGTGGACTGCGTGAATCTGTGCACCTCTTTCATACCTGTCTCAGTTCTTTTTATTTTCTTTCCCTGTTGTTGTTTTCTTAAAGTATGCTACTGTTCAGTGGCATGTGGCATCATTTTTGGTTGCTGGTTGGGAGGCTGCTGGATGAAGCCTATCTTCAAGATCTGGCAAATCTGGGCCTGGACCTTAAGGGGTCCTGCAAAGCGTGAGTCAACGACAATAATGGGTGACAACTGCCAGTTATTTATTTAAAAAGGGTGACGAACTGGTAGATAAGGTAATTAGATATATCATGATATATACGTATATATATAAAAGTATGTTTGTATATATACATACTATGCACATATAATCAGACATTCTTAAACATTATATACATCTAATATGATCCATATATATATATATATGTATAATATGAATGATCTAACCCGATAATGATTTGGATTTTGGCAGCCTCCTATTTGCAACTGGGCAGTGTCCTATCCCTGGGGATTTTGGCAACGGATGCCTTTTCCACTGATTGCTGGATGCGATAAATGGGAACCCCTGCCCGACTGACCGATTTCACAGCCAATAGGTAAGTGGCACTGCATGGATCTACACAGTCTTTCCCAAAATGACATCACCGATTTCAGCAACACGCATTGCCGCATACTGTTTAACCAGTAAACTCAGTAAACATGAGGATAAACGATACAAAGCGGAAATGATGCGTACAACAAATGCAGCCCGACTCATACAAAGGTGCCTGGCGGGATTGGAAGTGACATGATAGTTGCCCTCAGACGTCAGATAAAATGCACCCAATAGTGTATCAGGCATCTTCCTTCCAGCAAAGAAAGTTTGAAGAAACTTGCTGCGCTGGTCAGATGTATTGATCAGAATCGGCCCAGTTATCAAAGGACATCCAACAGGTAGTCATCAAAGGATGCCCAAATTTTGGATTGGACAAACTCATATCGTAGTTGATGTGTAAGTCCCATGAATATCCATGGATTAGATCCACCAAAATTCACTTAGGATCTTAGGACATATAACCAGTATACTCTACTTTTTTGCAGGATAAATCCATGTATATACCCTCTGGCAATCAAACATTGCAATGGAAAATCCACCATTTAGAGTTCAATGATTTTCTCATTAAACCACCATTTATAGAGGACTTCCCAGCTATCCATGTTTGATTCCATGACACCAGAGGGTAACCATTGGCATCTCTTGTCATAATATGATTGGAACAATGGCTGAAATGTATTAATAATCATTGGTATCTCACCAAAAGAATCACCAGAGGTACTCCCCGGTGTTTCACATGTGGAAATATGTCAACATTGGATGATCTTCCGTCACATCTTCCGGCATTTAGCTGGGGATTTCCCAGCTTGGCAGGGAGTACCCTCAACAACGGCACCGGCAAGAGCTGGAATCTCATGAAACGCACCTTGGAGTCCAATGGAAGCACGGTGTCCACGGAGGTACGCCGCTTTGGAAAATGATGTTGGGAGGAGACAAAACAAGGTACAGCCAAGTTATATGTTATATGACTATGAATCTGAATATGATATTTAATATGATATAATATGCTATGATATGATTGACATGATATGATATATAATATGATATGATATGATATGATATGATATGATTGGCATGATACGAGATGATATGACATGATATGATATGACATGATATGATAATATATATATACATATATGTACGTTTGTATGTATTGTATTGCATTGTATTGTATTGTATTTTATTTGTATTGTATTTTATTGTATTGTATTGTATTGTAGTGTTATGTTACGTAACGTAACGTAACGCAACGCAATGTAGGTATGTATCTATCTCCAGGTTACTTCAAACCTGTCCAATTTTTCTATGGGAACATCCTCTTTTAAATTCAATATGTGGCTCAAACGCACTCTTCAGCATCGTTTCCAAAGGAAGAAACATCAAATGCGACTTCTTCACCAACTCCAGTGATCCATAGTTGCCATAGTCTTTCTTAGGCTACACCTGTTCTGTGTGTTGAGCTCTGGCCCATGACTCATGACCCCTATTTATGTGTGATTGTCGTTTTTTTTTTTGTACTGCGTGAAATGCATCATGAAGTTTAAGACCCTCCAAACCAACACATTTCAGCTGGTCTTTATCATTTGTTCACTATTAAAGGATCCCATGTTTGGGTACCCACGGCCGTGAGAGTAGTACAGGCTGGCTACAAAGATGCGCACAAGGCCATCAAGGAAGAGTTAGTTTGGACCTCTGTGGCACCTGGGAAGCCCTAAGCACCAACGAACTTTTGGGGCAACAAAGGGGGAGCGAACAACAAATTGGCTAATCATCAAAGTTATAGCTTGAAAGTGGTTACCTGGCTGCTACTTTGAACTATAGTAACTATAGGTTCGAATCCACATGACTCACATTGACTCACATGACTTAAATCCAAGGCCAACAAAACCTTGGAGCTGGAAAGCGCCAAGGAGTACGCCGACAAGGCGCGGGCGTTCGAGTTTCGTCGATGAATCTTCCCATTGACAGTGATTTCCCATTGAACAGTGATGATTATTCCATTGAACATGGATAAGATATTGAAACATCGAACATTGATACAGTATCGCAATGATAATATCTTGTTAACATAAATGATGAAAATAGACAATCATCAGGTACGGTAACGGATATTGTCCGAATCATTATTATCCCATTGATAATATTCTGGTGATAGCGATTCCAACCAGGTTAGATTACCAGAGGATACTCAATGGTGGAAATCACCATACACCGTGGCCCAACAGTGTTGCGGGAGGATTCGAAAGTCTGGCACCTACAGTTGGGTGACTTATTCTACTTACTTCTATAGGACTGCGAAATCAGAGATTTCGGTCATTCTTTCATTCCTAGCTTGATCTTTGTACATTGTCAACATCAGATGCCTCATTTTCCATATCTGACTAAGAACCAACCAATCTATTGCCACATGGCAGTCTTCTAGCGCCAGGTGAAGGCAGAATTTGAAGCGCTGAAGCAACGATTTGAGGCCAGCCAAAAGTGTCTTGGCTCTGGAAACGTTGAGGAAAAAGGGATGAAGGTGTAATTTTCAGCAACGCACGTATGTTGCACTCAGCACAATGCCGATTTTGGTCGTTCGGCATCAGCAGAATGTTGAGTTTTTTTGGGCAGGTGCCAAATTGGGGCACGCCTCACAACACAACCAGCTCGTACTGTATAGGTTCAAAGGTTTGCGGTCTACACCGATGATTGACCTACTATTCAGAAATTCAGCATCCTCTCAAGTAACATTCAAGCCCGATAGTTTAGCGGTTCGAAGTTATTGGGGAAGGTAGCTTGGTGAAATTCCTGCACAATCTTGAATACATGTAGCTCTATGAACCTAACAAACACATCAATCATATCTTTATGGTGGTTTCTTGAAATTGGGGATCCCCTAAAATATCCTAAAATCATAGGTTTCAATACTAAAATGGTCTAATTTTGGATCATTTGGGGTTACTGTACCGTTATTTTAGGACCCCCATATGTGCATGTTAGATGTGCATATATATGTATATACATATGAATCATTAATAATCCTTATTTTCAACAAACTCCTTTTCGCATATTTGTAGCTTCAATCTTGGACACACCGTTGAATGTTCCAAGGAATATGAGCGAGGCAGCCGAAAGACGGAAGCAGCTCGAGGCGAATGGATCATATGCAGGGTGATCCCCAGCAGATCCGACAGTTGAGCCATGTTGATTCCTGTCCACACTAAAAACATCCCAAGATCGACAACATCTGGGGATGGGTCACAACCTTACCATTAACCATCTATTTTATCGTACCTAGAGTGCCAGGGTTTTGACTCATAGCCATCTGAATTCCAAAAACGGGGCCTGCAGCGCAGGCAGATCTCTTGGCTGAGCAACAAAAGCTTCAAAGCGTCGGGCTGCCAGTGACGAGGAAGTGTGACAGGTGTTTTCTTTCGGACCCAAACCCAGACTTGTTCGTTCTATTCATAAAGTCTACAAATGTATTATACTTGTACAATAATGTAACCCACAAACACAGATATATAGATATTTGTATATGTATATACGTATATATATCTCACACACACAGAGATTTATTTTTGTTGTAAAAATCTTGTAATTGCATGTATTTTTTAAAGCATACATTTGCCTGTGTTCTTTGATTTTCGGACGTTCAACCCACTACCCATCGTGTTTTGGCAGTTCTGAGGTCATCTCAGAGGCTGAAGCCTGGAAGAAGCAGGTGGGAAAACAGCCTGGACATGCGAACTGATGGGTTCCCGGTTCCAAGAACCAGTGCAGAAACGGAGATCTTGAAAAGCTTATGGGTTTGAAATTGTGTCTTTTGATATTTTGCAGAGATACCCTCACACACCCTACAATCTGCACGTTGAATTTCCACATTTTTTTCGCCGCGAATGTGTTGAAACGTGCAGGCCATGTCCAAGGACAGCGCTGGAGCGGAAGCTCTGCAGGAAAAAGTGCAGTTGCAGGCAGGGGCCTCCAGCTGACTCCTGGGGTCCAAAAAGTGGGGGTTCACCACCAATTTATGACATTTTTTGTATGGCAATCTAAGTGAACCCGGAACCCGGAAAGCTACCGCCCCCAAACAATAAGGCTTAACCGCACTCTAGTACGGGCTGATGGTGGTTAGTAACCACCAAAAACGGGGGATACCCAAAACTTGTCCTTTTGATAATGACATGATGATCAAAGATGAAATTTTAGGGTACGCTATTTTCAGAGAACCCCGCCGGAACTCCAACTTGGAAGGGGATTTGTGAAGCCAGCTGGGTGGGAAACGAAGTGTATTTTAGGACACCGACTAGTTGGGTTATACGATGGGCTTGAGGATCCCCAATCTCGGCTCAGGTGGAGTTGGAGCTGGAACGGCAGAAAGCGGAGGACGTCGGCGGCCAAGTCACGGTGGGTGTGGAGAGCCCGGTTTATGATGTTTATGGCGTTGAAGCAACACACATTTAGTTTTCTTTCAGATAAGTATTGAACATGAACATCTTGGGTTTTGGTCCTAAATCTTGATCCATGGGCCGGCTCGAACCGCAAATTACAGAATGAAATTAAGTGTTGCATCCTTGGGTCTTAAAGAACCATAAAGAAGCCATGTGGTTGGAAAATTGGGGCAGCAAAAATACATTCCGGTGGCCGACACCTCAGGCCTTGAAGGAATGTGAAACCCTGAAGCAGCAGGTGGGAAGGGGTGCCCTGCTTCCACAACTGGGTTCTGTCACCTCACTAGTAGATGAGTTTTGCTGGTGACGGTGGGGTGTATTGTATTTAGATGTATTCAGAACAATTTATCACAGTATCTATCCCAAGTGGTACTTATAACTTATGACTCAATCAACTTCCAGCTGTCTCCATTTTCTTTGTTTTCTTTAAAACACACAATATCCAGCTGGTATCTTCCCAGCCGCGGTCTCCCAGCTGCCCATATAGGTTGAAGACCTGGGCAAGCTGAGCAGCTCCAACCAAGCCGCCAACAGTGAGTTGGAGGTGCAGCTGGAACTGGAACGGAAACGCGCTCAGGAGGCGCCCGTTGCAGGAAGTGTCACTGATGCAAGAAAAACCCGGTGGGGGTGCAAGAAAAGGGTCAAACAAGGGGGCTTTTTGAACCCTTAGATTTGATGATGGATTTTGATGGTGATTTTGGGTTTTCCATGGGTTCATCCATTGCTGGTTCATCCATTGGTTAATCCCTCATTTTCCCATTGCTTCATCCACCATTTGGGAAAGATCCTGGGATGATTTCGCCGAAGGTGGCAGCTGCGAGCGCCGAAGAGGCCGCGAAGCGAAAGGCGCTCGAGGCCGGGGAAGTGACAGTCTGATGATCGATGTGTGATGAAGCCCCACAAAAATGAGGTGTTTTTGTTGCAACATCTGGCAATTAGTATACAACATGACCATGAAACATGATAAACATTAGGATTTCATCAGTAAAATTGGGAGCCGTTTTTTTGAAACCCAGCAGCCAAGGGTGGACATCCATTGATAAACATATAGAGATTTTGTAGATGACTCTAGTAGACATCGCAAGATATCATGTCATGAAAATATGCAAGAAGTATTGTCAGCGGCCTGATTGGACCTTGAAGACACCAACCCATCTGGGGTCCATGAAGTACTGTCACAAAGACTCAAAGGGGGTTTAAGCACCAAACATGGGGAGACCAACCCGAAAGCGAACATGGGGAGTGAGTGAATAGAGTTTGGCAGGTTTGCACAATATTCGAGCCATGAGTTGACGCTGACCAATCCGCGGCCAAATCGCCGCACCAACCCTGTTTCAATGATAACAGATTCCAAGACCATTGCAGGGATTTTACATGTCCTGTTTTGGGGTTAAGCATCGCACAACATCACCTTTTGGTATACTGAATAGTGGTGAGCTTCACAAAGGAGACGTTTGCACAGAAAGTATATGAAACCATTTAACTAGAAA